GGAAGAGCGCAAGGAAGCGGTCAGTGCAGCCCGAACCACGCAAGCGGATTCCGCAGCCAAGCCCGAAGCCGTTGCCGCGAGAGTAGACGCGGTGGACGCTCCGAAGACGATTCTTGCCCGACCCACGCGGACTGCAAGCAATCCGACTGCCGAGGAGCGCCCTCGCGAGGCAGCATCCGTGACAGCCTCGGTCCCCAGGCCGCAGAACTCGGCACAGGATGCCACCACTCGAGCCTCCAATCGGTCTGGTCCCAGTCCGAACCCTTCTCACTCCGTGCCTCAGGACAAGCCGGCGCGCAAGAGTTCTCCTCCAGCGTCGAAAACGGCGCCGACAATCGCGGCTCCTGCTCCCGTGCGACTGTATCCGGTCGTTCCGAAGGAGCCGCAGGAGACAAGGCACGAGGTGGTTCAAGATGCACCGCCCGCCTGGAACCGCTTCGTCGTCCATCTCAAGGCCTCGCGTTCTCGCCCCAGGCTCAATCGCTTCCAACAGAAGCAGCTTGCCGCAAGGGTTGCAGCCATGAATGCTCCAGGCAGGCACGTCTATCCTCTTACTTGGGACCCTCCTCTCGCACATCTGTCCATGAAGACGCTGTCGCGAGACGACCAGCTTTTCTCGAAACGATACAACCGTGGTACCGTGATCACGCCAGTCAATCTGCCGTCGCGCATCCTGCCGCGCGGCCTTGCTTCGATCGTGCCGCAAATCGTAGCGCAGAGCCCTGCCTTTGGAGCGAGGAAGCAAGCTCGCTTCGACCTGACGCCGCAATGGTCCGAGCTCGACCGCGCCGGATTCGGCAACGGAGCCGCGGTCGAAGGGCAGTCTGCCGGCGTATCGCCCGGTGGCCAAATCCAGGTGCGCCTGCCTGGCCATCACGCCACTGTCGTTCCACCTGGATCCGTCGGCTCGGTGCCCGACAGGCACAGCGCCGCAGCGACGTCGCGTCATGTCGACCGCGCCACCGATGCCATCATTGGCGAGGTCCTGTCGTCGGGTGGGGCTCCGCAGCAGTCCTCGTTTGAGGATCGCAGCAGGGCATTCCACGTCGGCGCCGCGCCTGGCTCCTTGGGTCCTCTCGACTACCCGCAAAACGGATATGCGGCGGACGCCTTTGGCTCGCACACCGCACCTGGTGCCTTCCGTTCCAAGGGTCGACGAGGTTCCAACGCCGCCGTGGCCTTCTTCGACGAGCGCCAAGTCAATACGCCTTCTCCCGTGTCTTTCATGGTCAACAGCGAGATCAAGGCCGAGGCTGGCGGGCCGCGCGGCAGTCTGTCGCCATTCGGCATCCCTGGTTCAACCAGGGCATCGCAGACCCAGACGCCTGCCAGCAGCGGCTCGATGCTGCCCTCGCCAAGCCTCTCTACGCAGGGAACGTGGGGTCAGAGTTCGCTCACCTTCCCGGTGCTCGAGCCTCGTTCTGCAAACCTGGCGGATCGCGACCACATCAAGAGCGTGTGGTCGCTGACTACCAACTCGCACTCTGGCGAGTTGCAGAATTCACTCAAGGACATTGGCGACGATTTCTTGCCTTCGACCATGCCGATGAGCGTGCATGATTTCCGTACTGACGAAAGCCGCTTGACCGGCGCGCGGGAGGAGGGCGGCGATCGATGGGGCTCGTCGTCGTTCAACCGTTTCCAGGCGTACAGCCGTGGTGCGCCCGATATGGGCGGCGATGGTCGTGACCTTTCGCCTGTGGCCAACCGACCGAACGGATTCGATCCTACGTCTCGCAGCCCGTCTGCAAGCATGGATGCGTCGGGTGTTCGTGCGCGAGAGGCCGGCCAGCACCATTCGGTCTCGAGTGCATACACGTCGCTCGGCGGAAGCGGAGCATATGCGCAGCACTCTTCGCACCAGACCTCGCCGTACTCGCCGCGTGAGCGACAGCAGGAAGGCGGCAACGGTCTTGGGCAGAGTGGCTTCAGCGCCTATGGCGGATACTCGAGCGGCACCTCGGGCAACATGTCGAGCATGACTACCGACGCTCTGTACGGCATGTCGAGCTACAGCGGCGGCTCAATGACGCCAAACCGCACTTCGTACAGCCAGTACGGATCGCACGCGTCGGCGGCTCGAAGTGCGCCCGGTTCGCCGTACAGCGGCATGAGCCGTCACACGAGCAATCTGACGAGCTCGGTGGCGGGCTACTCGCTGTTCCCCAGCAGTGGCACAGCGGGCGGCACTCGCGGCTCGCCCGCGAGCAATGGCATGGACGGGCTCGGCGTGCTGGACGATAGCATGGCCGGCACGTTTGGATCCGGACGCAACGACTTCTACGGCGCGAGGGGATACCAGCAGGCGTCGCGGTACGGATCGGGCTCGCAGGCGCAGCCGCCATCGGCAACGTCGGGTGCGGGCAGCACAGGAGCCCAGTGGCCCGCGTCTTCTACCGCCTCGCCCAGTGCGAGCGGCAGCGTCTTACGGCCCGCAGCGAGCGTGTTCAATCCGCAGCAGAAGTACTCTGCCGGTGCGCAGCAGAAGGCCAAGCAGCAGAGCCAACAGCAGGCCGCCCAGCAGCAGCAGCTGCAGCAGGAACAGCAGCAGGAACGTGCAGACGACTCGGGCGCACACGCCGCCTACGCATCGCAGTACGCCTCGGCACCCTATGCCGGCTTCTCGTCCACTCCCGGACTTTGGTAGCGTGTTGCAGCCCGCCGCGGCGAATGTGTGAATCTACTAAACAGTTGCGTCTGTTCTCGAGTGCGGTGTGGAGCGTGTGTTTGATGTTGTGAAGTTGGGCGAGAATCGAAAGCAGCAAGGGTAAAAGGGGACGTGTTTTGCGTAGGTATGGCGCAGGTCCATCGTGCGTCTCCGATTTTTTTCCGACTGCACGGGGCGACATCTTCAAAGAGTCTCATGGTTCAGCAAAAGCCACTACTAGTCTACTGTACAGCAACAGCATCAAGGGTATCTTCAAGGTGCATGTACGGAACGCCAGCCTAGTAAAAGGTTCACAGCTTCCTACCGCATCGCCCTGCAGTTTCGCATGTAGCACTCCTGCATTCCGACCGCCGTCTCATTCGTTTACGAGGAGAGCGGAATTGGTCCCTCTGCGCGAGAGTCATGGTAGTGATCTAGGAGCTCTCAGCGCCGCACGCCCGTCACATCAAGGTGAGGGGCAAAATTTACATTCTCAGGATCTAGACGAAAGTGAAGGAACCAGACACGAGGCGGGCTGAGAGCAATGTACAGCGTGACGCCGTCACCAAACCGGCTACCTGCGTCTGCCCTGCGAGAAGCGGTTGGACTTGCGCGGATACTTCTTTGCGCTGTGTTCGCCGCCAACCATTTCACTTGCGGTTGGAGCAGTCTTTGGCTAGGTGCAAAGGCTCTTTAGCGCTGCATTGCTCGCAGTCGGCTGGCCTACCAGTGAAGACGAGCGGGAGCCTCTTCGGGAACGGCAAATCAGCGAAGTCGAGGAAAGCGGGCAGACGACTCGTGTCGACGCGCTCGCTCAACCCAAGAGGACCCGTCCATCTCAGCAGCACATAGACCGTGCCAGTAAAGTCAGACTGAGTTGGTATGCCGTTGATGATCATGTCCTTGTAATATACTGGCCAGAAGGCGATAATCTTGCCTTGAGCGCGAAGAGCCTCCCGCATCGAATTGAGGACATCACCGCGTCCATTGCGGATATCCAGCGAGTCGACACGAAGCAGGACCTGGTATTCGGGATACGGTGCGCTTGAGCAGGCAAGCTTGAAAGGCGAGAGGTCAGCGCCTCTAATCTTTAAGTACGTCAAGTTGTTCTTAGCAAGACGTCGAGGAAGAGCGACTGTCCGATTCTCTTGGGCAGAGTGACCACCCAGTCCTCGGCCGGGACGCATGGGAACTGTGTCGCCAGTTGCTGTTTGGCGGCCTTGACCATGTTGAGGTAGTCGTTGGAATCAGGGTGTGCAGCTGGTCCCTCGTACCTGAAACGCCTAGTGCACCTCCCCAGCGTATCTGGTCGGCCTGGCTCCGGGTATTCTCGCATCGGCCAGATCTCGTAGGCGTCATTGAGTAAATAATCGACGCCGTGTATCAAGGCAGGGCCACCAGACGGGTCAGAGGCTGCGATCCGCTCGATCACGTTGCCCGGGCTCTGCATGGCGACGGGATCCACGGCGCCATTCCTGCCGTGATCCATGACGATGCCTTCAGTGCCGTTAGTGGGCAAGCCCGTCGGGCGGAAGCTTACGTGCACTCGCGGCACGTTCGCTGGGGTTGCTCCGTGTGGTCTGCTCGCACCGTGGAAGAGAGGGCTTGCACTGCGCCGCTCAACTTTCACTGACGGGGGCATCTGAGATCGAGAAGGCTGACGACTGGCTCTGTCTTGATCGGTAGCCTTTGCCTCGCCTCGTCGACGTGCTCGGGTCCCGAAGCCGTTGTCATGAGGAGGCTGACCCTGCGCATGTGACTGAGTGGGCACGCTCCTGTCTTGGTCGCTTTCTCGCTTGAGGAAGTGCCCGCAGGGGTGATATCGCTGTGCGCTGCTGCGTTGGTCTTGTCGGCGGCTGTAAGCTCCATCGGCGTAGGCCTCGTCTCGATTCAGGAAGTCGAGGAGATCCTTATAGACGCGACCCCTCTCCTGTTCAGGCTGTCGCTCGCGGCTCTGGTCTTCCTCGGCGGCTGTGGTCGCCGTGTCAGCAACCTTCCATCCCTCGACATTGCCGGCGCCGCGAGCCTCCCGGGGGCGAGCAGCAGCTGCCGATTCTCTGACCTTGCGGTTGTTCTCCATGGCTGCCTCGATGTTTGGATCTGGGTAAGTGCGCGTGCCACAAGGCGGTGAAGCTCCCGGAAAGATCGCTCGCGTGTCCGTGCGATCCTTGACTGCTGATCCAGGGACGCCTGCGTCAGAGATCCAGTGGACCGGACTCAAGGAAGCGTATACGTGGTTCGTCCATCTGCGTTCGGGATCCAAGGGTATATGTAGTGTTTGTTTTGGCCCCTCTCCTTCCTCGTTGGCATCGCGCTCGGTCGCCACCATTTTTATGAAGGCTTCATTGACCGGCGAGCCTTCGACTACAACCTCGCCATGGCAACCCGGCCTTAATTTTGGTCTCATGTGCCAGCCGCCTAGTCGGTGGGCGTTCGGCAAGGGCTCGGTGACGTCTGGCAACCTGGGTCCAGCTGCCAAACGTCAACTCGAATAGAACCCGGCGGCATGCTTCCCGAATGCCGGTAGAGTGCGTTCTTTCACGCCTCACTTTGCTCCCAGGCAGATTCCTGCAGCAAGACGATACGAGCGCTTTCATCTGCGACCGAGCGCAGAAGAAGAAACAGAGTTGATTGCGATGCAGCAGGAGCGAGATTGAGCGCAGGATTCTAGCTGTCAAAGAAGGCGTGAATGGGCATGGGGTATTAGACAGGCGATGCTGATTGCAGCTCAGCCTTAGTCGCATGAAGAACCGTAATGGCGATAGAACCAGAGCACATTGAGCACGCCTTCAGAACCATCGTCCAAAGGTGGCGGGAGCGCGCAACGCTGCAGTGAGGCGCCACCATCCTCCCTACCGCAGCACGTCGCTCACGCGTGGCGACTGCGCCGTCGTCGCCAGCAGCCTTCAGCTCCTGCGCATCCTCACACAGCCAGACAGAAGCAAAGAGGCGAAGCGAAAAAATGGTATATGCAGCGTCGTCAAAGCGGACGTGAGAGGACAAGTCGCAGAGGATAAAAGTCGTACCGAGCATTCAGGACATGAGAAAACAAGAGGGGGACCGAATCCGGACGCAAGACGCATTGCTGCAGCATCTATGACTTGGGAACTTGTCTCTATCTTGCCTTGCCACAAAGTACCCGCTTCAGCGGCTGTGCTCGCCCGAGGTGTTGCCCTCGGAAGTGGGCGTGGCCGTAGCGTCCTCGGTCTGCAGGTTGGTGTGGTCGCCCGTCTTGGCACCCTTCTCGACGTCGTTCGAGCCATAGTCGCCCACAATGTCGAGTTCGTCGTTGATGAGGTTGCCCTGCTTGTCGTAGCGGCGGGGNGAGCCATAGTCGCCCACAATGTCGAGTTCGTCGTTGATGAGGTTGCCCTGCTTGTCGTAGCGGCGGGGCGTGACCTTCTCCTTGCGCACCACATCGTACGGGTTGATCTTGCTCGAGTGCGCAAAGATCGTCGACATCTCCTCGAGAGATCGGCCGGCGGTTTCGGGGAAGATGAAGTACGTGACGACGAGAATGACGAAGTTGAGAACCGCGAAGGTGACGTACGTTTTATAGAAAATAGTGTCGAACATCACTGGAGTCACCATGACCACCATAAAGTTGAACAACCAGTTCGCTGAAGTAGAGATACCGTTCGCCTGGGCTCGGATCGCGAGCGGGGTGATCTCGGCGGGGTAGAGCCAAGTCATGCCGAGCCATCCCCAAGCGAAAGACGTGTTGAAGAGGAAGAAGAACACGACCGAGACGACACCGGGGGCGGTCCTGCTGCGACTGGGATCGGGAACGCCGTTGGTGGAGAAGTACTTGACACTGGGCACATCCATGATGGCGAGGATGATCATGCAGATGCACTGGCCGGCGGCACCGCCGAGCATGAGCGGGCGTCGGCCCATCTTCTCGATAAAGAAGACGGCAGCCCACGATGCGATAAAGTACTCGGTACCGTTGGCGGCTGCGAGGATTCGCGAGTTGAGGTCCGAGAAGCCGAGCTGCTGCTGGAGCGTTTTGCCGATGTAGTACGTGATGAGATTGATACCGGAGATCTGCTGGAACATCTGCGACATAAAGCCGAGCACAGTGCGGTGGAAGTTGCGCTCGGGACCGTTGGTGAAGAGGTCCTTGATCTTGGTCGTCTTGGCAGCAACGAGCGACGCGGAGATTTCGTGCAGCTTCTTGGAGACGATGGGGTCGTCGACGGGGACATTGTCAAGTGCGGCCACGACATAGCGCGCATCGTCCTCACGGCCCTTGAGCATGAGCCAGCGGGGCGATTCGGGCAAGAAGATTGTGACAAAGGTGGGGAAGATGAGGATGAGTTGGAGCGCAATGGGCAGACGCCACGCGGCCGAGCTCGGGTCGAGGAAGAAGCAGCCAAAGTCGATCCAATAGGCCATGGCGATACCACCGGTAATCATGGCACCCTCGACCATGATCAGCATGCCTCGCTTGTGGGGAGGTGAGCATTCACTCTGCCACACGGGGATGGTGGCAGTGTGCATGCCGTTGCCGATACCGAGGATGACACGGAAGACAAAAAGCTGGGCAAGGCTGTACGAAGCAGTGCAGCCAACAGTGCCGACGGCCATAATGATGGATCCGATCCAGATGTTGGCCCTTCGGCCGAGCAGGTTACCGAGGTAGAGCATCGAGATGGCGCCGGCAAAGCAGCCGAGCTCGTAGACACCGGTCACGAGACCCTGGAGCACAGCGGCGGTGGAAGTGGCACTTTGCCCATCAATTTTCGCCGTGTCGATCTCGGGAAATTGAGCGTTCCACGACGGAAGCGTGTAGAGCGAACCCAGCACACCCTGGTCGTAACCGAAAAGCAGGAAACCGGCCGAGGCGGCAAAGCCGATGGCCCAGTTAAGCTTGATGCCGCGCATGCCCAGGAAGGTCGGGACCATATCGGTCTCCGGCCTTCCTTCTTTCAAGCCCATCAAACCCATGATGGCTGTGGCAAGTGGTGATGATGGATCAGAAGCAAGGAGGAAGGAGGAAGGAGGGATGGATGGGAAGGGGGGGGGGG